CAATAAGATGGGCCGGAGGGAATTTGAAAGGAGAGCAGCTTTTCACAGCGTGCCCTTGTTTTCGTTTTCGGTTTCCATTTTCCATTATCCCTATATAACCCCAATATATACCCTATAATCCCTATATATACCCTAATCGGATATTTAAGCTCCAGGATGACAAGGATGCTTGCTTGGGATGAGTTTGGCGATGTATGGGCCATGGGGCTGCTTCACTAGGTGGTATAGGGGTTATATAGGGATAATGGAAAAGAAAATGGAAACTACTATTTTTGGGGTTTGGGGTTTTAGGGATGTGCCTTCTTTTGGGGAATGCTGCGCGCTGGGCTTACAGTTGTGCCCCGCTGAAGAGGACAGCTTCGTTGCGCGGCGTTTTGCAGTTTTTGACTTGCTGAGTGAGGCCTGGTGGGCACTTGTGAACAGCTGCTATAAGAATAACCATAATAGTATAGTAATAATACTAGTATTGGTAAGACTAAGAATGTTAGTAGGAATACTAGTGTTGATATTAGTATAATTGTATGAGTCGTTATGCTAATGCTGAAGGAATTTGCGTTGTGGTTGGCGCACGCATTTGCCATGACGAGCCCTGCCGCGTGATGAATGGATGCCTCAGCTTTTCATTCACAAGACACGCTCAGTCTTGACGGAGTCTGTTTGCCTCAGCGTCACGAGCACGGCGGAAAGAGGAGCTAGCTTGCGGTTCGTTCAGCTCAGCAAAAACTTGGGAGTTACATCAAGTCTTGCGCCATGGTATTGTGTTTGGTTTCTGCTTGTTACGTCCTGTGGCCCTTGTGGCCATTGCGTTCTGCATCGGTTGCGCACATGGCGTGCGCCAGGCGCAGGACGCCCTTCCTCATGACCCTGATCGCGCCAAGTCAGGCCCAGGGCTTTGACCGGTTTAGGGTTTAGGGTTTAGGGAAGCTTCAGTCGATATATGTCGATTCCTCTGCGGTGGAGCCTTCATTTGTGTGTCTGGGCCCCATGACATACTTGCAATAGTGGCCATTGATGATGCTGCTCGTTGACACTGCGATGCTTCAGGTTGGCATTGGGGAAGGTGTTGCAGTTTGATCTGCTATTCGCACTGCAGTTCATAGCTGGATTACTTGCATGCTCCGGGCTCAGAGAACCGGGGTAGCCTGCAACTTGGCCCTGGCACTCATGGCAGCGGGAAAGTTCGTGCGCTACAGCAGCCAAGGCGAGATCGTGGACGTCGAGGAGTTCGAGGTGGCGAGGGCCATCGTCGCGGGCGACACTCAGCCGCTCAGCCAGCAGATCGAGTCGAAGCACCTCTTCGAGCTTTGCATCGCCTGTGGCCATCAGAGCACGGCGGCCGCTCTGCTGAACCATGGGGTCCCCGGCTGCAGGGTGGAGCTTCGGCACTTGGGGCCATTTGCTGCCGAAGCAAGATCCGCAACCGGTGACTGCGGGTGCGGGAGCACCTGGGAGACCTGCAACTTCTGCTGCTGGGGCGCGGAAGTGGAAAGTGGAGTGTGGATGAAGGACTGGGACGCAAAGCTCGAGGATGCGGTCGCAGCGGCCCGGGAGGCTGCGTTGCGCTCGGGCGAAGACTTCTTCCGCAACTTCGACGTCTCGGAGGCGGCCATGGCGCGGCTGCTGGACTTGGCCATCCTGACCGGGGACGCGGGGTTGGCGCAGCAGTGCACCCAGCGCTGCACGCGGAGGCCCCTGAGGCGGTGGTGCTCCGAGGGCTTCTTTGACAGCGGCTTTTCGGGTCCCATATCTGCCGTGGCGCCAGAGGTCCTGGCAGCCGCGTCCTTTCGGGCGCGGCCCTGCAAGGGCTCAGCATCGCCTTTAATGATGATTTTGGCGACTGCTCCATTCCTTTGCGCGAAGCCATTGCTTTTTGTGGCGACCTGCAGCTCTGCCAGCGCTTGAGCTCGCTGCTGCCAGAGGGCCAAAAGCCGTGGATCCCGAAGGTTAATTCGGGGGTCCTATTCTGGACTTGGTCTGATGGAAAGCGGGGCCTGTGCCTGGACCGGCTCAGCACGGCCTCGCTGGCAAAAATGGCGCTCTCCGAGTTTAACTTGGACGACTTTGCTTTTTTCTGTCCTGCATGCCTAGCACTTGTGGGAACGCCTCCGTCTGCTCCCGCTCGCCTTCTGGACGCGGCTATTTTCGGTGGACAGTCGGCGTGCGCGGAGCTGCTGGCATCCTGCGGGGTCGCCTCCACAGCGTGGACACGCGAAGCATGCTTGCCGGACAAACACTGTCAAGAGTGCGGAGCAGTTGCAAAGAATGTATTTATTCGGGAGGCACCTCCTCTGGGCGAACGCCGCGCGGCAGCTGGTGCCGCCCTGCGTGTGGCTCTAGCCCGCTCCCAGCGCCTGGCTGCTCCCATGGGGCTGGGCATCTACCAGGCCATGCTTGTGTGGGGCTGTGGGAAGAAGGTGCCAAAGGCCTTGGTGGACATCGTCCTCTCCTTCGCCGCTGAGAGGCCCCAGATCGCTTGCGTGCTTGAAGGGCTCGAGGAGGAGCTATTGCAGGCGGCAAGCCCGCTTCAAGAGCAGGAGCATCAGCAGCCGACAGAAACGGCCCATGCGCCGGAGCTTGCTCAGACACTGACAGTAGTTCCAGAACAGGAGCATCCCTCAGAAGCGGCTGAGGCGACGGAGGCCCCCGAAGCCCAGGAAGCCCCTGATGCTGAGATGAAAGACGAGGATGCTGTAGCCACGGAAACTGACGACTTGCTGAGGGCGGTGCGAAACAGCAGAGTTGAAAGGGGGCCCTTGAGCTCCGACGGCGTGATCTGCTTCCGGCTCACTCGGAAGGCCAACGCCCCGCATGTCAACGAGCTGCTCTTTGATGCCACCGGTCCTCTGGCTGAGCTACACCAACGTGTTCTCGATGCTGGCTGCGAGGTGGCCCCGGAGTGGTCGCCTGTGAAGGCCCTCTTCGTGCCCCTCACGAAGAATCAGCTCGATGAGCTCACTGGCTGCTTCGCCTGCATTGGAAGCAGAGTTTCACATAGGATTTATCTCCAGCTTGTTGATGTTACTTAAAGTATTCCATCATTCGAGTGCGGGTTGCTCAAAACTCAGGCGCTGCAGGCTCGCTGGAGCTTGGCAAGGAGCACCTCCTGGCCTTGCAGTCTGACTACCCCCTGCTGGACCGAGCCCTCCGGAGCCTCAGCAACGCCCACCGCCCCCGCCTGCAGCCCAGCATCCACAGGGAGGATGATGGTGACGGCGTGGTTCGTGGGGACGAGGATGAGGATGAGGAGGACGAGGGCGTGGCCGTGATCGAGGTGGAGGGTGGTCTCCGCACGGATTCGAGCCTCGGCTTCCCCAGCTACCCTCCTTGGCTGCATGGGCTTGGCGTGGCATGAGCTGCATATTGATACTGATACTGGGGAGAGCGAGGAAAGAATTGATGCAAGGGCTGAAGATAAGTCGTCAGGTCTCAGGTAGCGGACCCCGAGATTGTTGCGAAGAGAGCCGCTCTGCTCCTGCCACCTAGCCGGAATTGGACGGCTGCGGCCTGCCACGCATTGCTTGACTACCACGGTCTTGTTAGCCTTGGGGTCGGGCAAGTGAGGACAGCGCTGCGCCTGCTCCTTAAGAGGCATGACCTCACTTTGTTGCATATCTGTACAGCTCTCAAGGTTGCTTTCAGCAACAGCGTGCCGCAAAGCTGCGAACGACTTCCGGCATTCTTCGGACCCTTCCCCAGAACTTGCAAGCAAAGCACCGCAATTCAGAGAGTTTTCTCACGAAGGATGCCGACAGAATTTCCCATGCCATTTCATGAAGACTCCAAGTATCGCCTAGCAAGCTCCCAGCCTCTTGTTCAGAGCTGTGTGCCTTGGTCCTGTTAGCCTTGGCGCTCGGCATTTCCGGAGCTGAAGCCCTGGGAAGCTGCCCATCTCAAAAAAAGACCGACGTGCACGCAGATCATGTAGTTCTAGGTGTCTCAAAACATGAGTGGCAACTCATTTTTAGAATATTTATCATAGTACTCTTATTCTTTTTTCAATATGAATATTCTGGCAATCATCCCCGGAATGCCATCCTCGCAGGAAGTCTACCGTGGTAGGCTTGGGACTTTGGTTTTGGGTGTTGGATTGAGAGCTTCGGCATCATGCTGGTGGGATTCCCCGAAAGTAGGTGGGCATGTTCTACACTGCAGCGAAAACGAAGGATCCTTTTGTTTTGGGCTGTACAGGGCGACCTTCGCTTTTTTGAAAGACCGCGGAAACAATTGGGGGTTCATGTTTCATGACCCGAGATGGTGTTACTTGTAGTGTTGGTTTTCACCTTTCTGGAGTAGCTATTTGTTGGCTTCAAGCACTGGAGCGCACCAGACTTGGAAGTTGTGTTTGCTGCTGGCACTGCTGAACCCTAAACCCTAAACCCTAAACCCTAAACGCTAAGCCCCAAGCATGGATGCCCCAGAGACAAGTTGTCCTTGAGCACTGCCACAAGAAGGCATCCTGCACCTCATGTTGAGTAGTATTTGGGCATACTATGGTACCCAATACTTCAATCATGTCAGTCGATCCTTAGGGATCTTGCAAACATTATCAGCCGATTTTAGATTATTCTAGATTATTCTATCTGAGGGGCCAAAGGGCCCAGCGCGAAACCAGCATGACCAACTGATGTCCGAGAATAATAATACTATGGTACCCAATTTTGAGTAAGATTATTTCCTCCTCTTGGGGTATAGTATCTTATATAAGGAGTATAATCTTACTGGGTTTAACCACCAAAAAAACCGCTACTCATTTTGAATTGCTTCTTTCCTGTAGGACCAAGGGATTGATGTAGTTCTTCAGGTGCATGGCTGATGAGCCGCCACAGCCCCAGACATCCAAGCGATCCAAGTGGGCTTCAACCAATCTCCCAAGACCCTCCCTCCAGCTCTTCGGGCATCGATGTCCAAGCTTTTCGCGAACTTATCTCATGACAGCTTAACAACCCTAAACCCTAAAACCCTAAACCCTTAAACCTTAAACCTTAAACCCCAAACCACAAAGCTGAGGAGTGCTGAGGACATCCTAGGATGCTTCGATGTAGATTTCGGTATTCAGCAAGATGTGTTCCAGCATCTTGGATGACCTTTCCCTGTCTCCATGGGCCACACCCCGCTAAGGAAAACACACATGTCTGGGAGGGCCTCTACATGTCGGGAATCTCCACCAAGAGGAGCGGGAGAGTTGCGAAGCAAGTTCAGCCTCCATGGGTTGCCGAGAGTTCAGAAAACCTCAAGTGTGAAGTTTTGAGCTGGGGGGTTCTTTTTAGTATCAGGGACTTTGCGCAAGTTTGCCTAAGCCCCGAGGAGCTGAGGAAGATAGCAGCATCCCACTAACAGGACGACACTGAGGGCATAGATGTAATTTGGGGGTATTTGATGGGTGCTCCTGCAAATCAGAAGTTCATCGGGCCTTGCCAGACGGGCAACAGCGGGCAATGGAGGGGCAAGATGGAGGTGTAGCAAGATGGGTTTGAGTTTGGGGTCTGAAGACTCGATAATTGAAGTTGCCAAGTGCGGTCTGCGTAGTTTTTGGGAAATGTTGGCGCATCCTCAGTGCCACTTCATGGTGAAGGATCGCAGATATGTCGTTTTCTTGTTTGGGAGTTTTCTTTCCGAATCCACATGTCGTACTTGGGTTGTAAGGCGTTGTGACACACAGTCAGGCTCAATTGCAGTGCTTTGCCTAAATCGTGAGCACAAGTCCCCTTTCCAGAGAAATCCGCAACAGCAGGACTGAAACGGCGGCTGAGCTTTGATGTGGCGATGGAGTTCAGGCTCACCAAAAGCCGATCTCCTGACGGGTGATGGGATTAGTTAAGTCATCGCCTTTGTGGTAAAGTCGTCTCAGGGGGGTAAGCATGTCTGAGTACAGGATTCTAAATCGCTTGGGGGAAGTCCGCTATGGGGATTATGTAAGGCTGTTGTAGCTTTCTATCATTCATGGGTCTGTTTTGGGTACTGCCCCCACTCAGTAACAGTTGGATGATAATTGTACTATTTACTATGGTTATATATAGCCCTTAATAGGACCCCTAATATAGACTGCTACTGAGTGGGGGCAGTACCCAAGGTCTGTTTTAGGAAAGGGCTTCATTCCTCGGAACCTCTCTCCCCTCCTTATAGCTCCAGGGCAACTTCCCCAAAAGGTGCTGTGTTTTGGGGCTGACTGTTTTGGACTCGAAGCCCTGAAGATGCAATCCTCAAACTCAACTTTGAAGACCCGCGTGCCGGTGTTAAAGCTCTAAACCCTAAACCTAAACCCTAAATAGTAGTTTCCATTTTTTCCATTATCCCAATATATCGCGTACATAACCCCTGTAAAACCCTTGTGACAGCATTCAGGAAGGTTCTGAGACGGTGCCAGAAGAGCCAGTAGCTAGTGGATCCTTCCTTAACACCTTTGCTTGGAGGTTCAGAGTAGCTACAGCGCCTTCATAGCCTTGAAAGCGCTAAACCACGGAGTCCTTTTCAGCTGCGAGTGTGCCTTCCCCCAACAAATCTCTGCGAAGGCTGCAGGATCTGGGTTTTGGATGGAGGCAGGCGGTTGAGAGTAGTTACAGCACGTTTATAGCGTTGAAAGCGCTAAACCAGGGGATCCTTCTCAGCCGCGAGCGTGCCTTTCCCAAACAAACATTGAATTCTTTAAAGGCCCTGGTGAGAAGGGCCGGAGTTCTCACGGGCACCCTCTCTGCGCTCTCGTTTCCATAGGCGATCTTTCGTCTGACCGGATCCCCTTTTATCGCCTCGCCAATAGTTTCAAACATCACTTTTTTGTAGTTCAAAGTGGTTCGCAATAACCGCAAACTAATGTTCACTGGTGTCATGTCATATAAGTACCCTGTCCACGGAAGGGCATGATATGCATCCCGATGTGGAGGTTGGGGGTTTATGGACCTGTATTTTGGGGCTTATGAGGGATCGTCCCCAAACTCCAGTCCCCCCTAGCCTGTACAAAGCACCAGGAAGCTGGGTCATGGTACCATGGGCCTTGTACGTCCGAAGTGATGAGGCTTGGGGGTTTCCAAGGGGCACTGTAAGATCTTATGTAGAGGAGACAGCGTAACCGAACCGCAGGAATTTCGGCAAGGAGTTCTGGATCCCTGTTGTCATGTCAGTCTCAGCATGTTGACCCAAAGTACTAAAGCCGAATGTCTCCAAAAGGCAGCGGTACCACCTAGCCAAACCCTCCCTGATATCCTAATCCACTTGCCAGCCGTGCGCAACCGCAGGACGGCTGCCAATCTCTTGCAAGGGGATTTGTGAAGTTGTCTCGTCTGTGGTAAGGTCATCTCAAGGGTGATAAGCCAGTCTCAATCAAGATATCATGACTCTCTACACAACATTTCACAACCAAACATCCCAACAACAAGCGCAAGAAAGATTTGAAATTGTATATGCAGTGGGCTGCTGATCTCGGGGCTAGTCTTTGAACAGCATGGTTATTGGATGCTTGTTCCGCAAACCTTGTAGTATAACACTATGCTGCGGCGGTGAGAGATGTGAGCCTCAAGCCAGATCCAGGTGCTACGTAGTTTTTGTATGCTATGGTAGCGCTCGTTTCCTGGCCTCTGGTAGATTTCTGACGACGCCGAGCCTCCATGGTTCGTCTCCGGGCTTCCACGGCCAAAGGAACAGACAGCTGTCAGACGGCTGTCAGACTGCAACTTTGGCAATGCCTATACGATCCCTGTGCCCAAGTTGCACAAGAAACGCAGGCTGTCATGCGGGGTTTGGGGTTGCTGGGGTGGCTGGGGCTATTCACCAGCCTGCTATCAGGCTTGGCTGCGTTGGATCATGATGTGCAGCGGCAGGCGCAATGTGCCGCTCTAAGCGGCCAGGGCGACCTCGCTGCCCAAAACGTTCTGGTTCCTGGGCTGCGCACGGTCGCTACACGACTTTTGAAGTTGTTTCTATTCTTCTGTGCGCATAGGGGGTTGCTTGGAGAGAGGCTTTCTGGAAAAAAACATTGCAAATCCCAAAACTTAAAAACGGCAGATTTTCTATAAAATGCAAAATAATTCCAAATAAGTCCAAAAAAGCGAAACTGTCCCAAAACACCAAAAATGTCAGAAGGTAATTGGAGTCTTTGAACACGTGCGCTTGATTTTTTTTTTTTTTTTT